GTGGCGGCTGGGACAGCGTGGTAAGGAGGCAGCAGTACCTGAGGGAAGCCTCTGGATCATAGACCCTGGCTCTCACAAAGAACTTCAATTTTCCAGGCCAGCCAGGGGTAACACACAGCTGGATCTGCTGTTTACTAGCAAGGGGGCACTGACTGAGGTTGTAGTCATCAGTGGTAGCCTTGGCTGTAGCGACCATGAAGTAGTAGTGTTCAGGATCCTAAAGGGAGTGACGAAGGAGAGTAGCAGAGTACAGACTCTGGACTTCAAGCAAGACTTCAGCTTATACAGGGAACTGGTGGGAGAGATCCCATGGGAGGCAGCTCTGAAGGCCAAGGGAGCTCAGGAAAGCTGGCAAGCCTTCAGAACAGCAGACTCCAGGCACAAGAACAGTCCATCCCAGTGCTCAGGAAAACAAGGAGACATATCAGCAAATGGCCTTGGCTAAGCAGGGACCTTAGGGCCAAGCTGCAATGCAAAAAGGCAGCATATGGGAGGTGGATGCAGAGGCAAGCTACAAAGGAGGAATTTATAAACATTACCCAGGCATGTAGGGATGGTGTCAGGAAAGTCAAAGTTCAAGGGGGGTTGAGACTTGCAAGGAAAACTGAGGGTGCTAAAAAGAGCCTCTACCACTACATTGTCAGTAAAAGGCTGAATAAGGGCCCTTTCTGAATGCAGTGGGTGATTTAGTGACAGCAAACACAGATAAGACTGAGACACCCGACACCTCCTTTACCTCAGTCTTCACCAACAAGGTCTCCCAGGCCTCCATGCTTTTTGAAAGGGTTCAGAGAGCTACCAGACAGGGATGAAGATTGAGTCAGGATTTCTTCAGTGAACTTGATCCATACGAATCCATGGGATCCAACAGGCTGCATCAATGGATCCTGACAGAAACAGACTTGCAGGGCTGCTCTTTCAAATGTGGTGGAGATCAGGGGTGATCCCTGACAACTGGAGGAAAGCAAGTATTGTACTTTCAACACCTTCAAAAAAGGCCAAAAGGATGACCTGAGGAGCTACAGTCTTGTCAGCCACACTTTGGTCCCTGGGAGAATCATGGAGCGAGTCCTCTTGGAGCATGCTTTGGCCACATGGAGGAGCCTGGGAGGGGAACAGCCAGCACGAATTGACCGTTCTGTTTGCTTTCTGCGATGCAATGACGGGATCTGTGGCTGAAGGGATGACAGCTGTGGATGACAACTGCCTTGACTTTAAGAAGGCTTTTGATACCTTCTCCCACAAGCCTCGTATCCAAGGCAGGACGTTATGGTTTGGAGGGATGGACGGCCGGGCGGGCCAAAAAAACAGGTTGGGGTTGGGCTCAGAGGGCGGTGGCTCATGGGCTGTGCTCTGCCTGGAGGCGGGTGACAAGTGGAGCAGCACAGGGACCAGCCCGGGGACCTCTCCTGCTTAACATCTTCAGCAAGGACCCAGGCAGGGAGCGCACGCTCGTCGGGGTCCCAAATGACACCAGCCCGGGAGGGGGAAGCAGCTGGGACGCCCGAGGGCAGGACTGCGCCCCAGGGCCTCGGGCAGGCGGGAGGAGCGGCTGACGGGAACAGCGGGAAGCTCGGCAAGGACAAACGGCGAGTCCCGCTCTGGGCAGCAGAGCACCTCTGCAGCAGCACGGCCGCGACTGCCGGGCTGGGGAAGCAGCGCCGGGGAAAACGTCCGGGGGTCCGGGTGGGAGCGAGCAGGACAGGAGCCGCAGCACACGCTGGCGGCAAGGAGAGCCCGGCAGCACCGCGGCCCGCGCCAACGGGCACAGCCGGGAGGCCGAGGGCAGGGGTTATCCTCCCTCTGCTCAGCCCTCGCTGAACCACATCGAGATGCTGCACCTGATTTTGGGCCCCCGGTCCAGGGAAGACCTTGACAAACCGCGGCGAGTTCAGGGGCGGGCGCGGGGCCGGCCGGGGCTGGAGAAGCCGCCCTGCGAGGAGCCGCTGAGGGACCGGGGCTTGCTCAGCCTTCAGGAGGGGAGGCTGCTAGACCTAACAGCGAGCTGCCCGCGCCGACGGGGAGCTTCTCAAGGAAACGGAGCCCGGCTCTTCACAGCGGTGCACGACAGGAGAACAAGGGACCGCAGGCGTGGGTCGAAATGGGAACTTCAGGCTGGATACAGGGGAAGGTTTTTCTCTGTGAGGACCCCCGGTATTGGAGCAGGTCGCCGACAGATGCTGTGCAGCCTCCATCCTTGGAGGTTTTCAAGACGCTGCTGGATGAGGCTGTGAGCAGCCCACGCTGACCCCACAGCTGCCCCTGCTTCGAGCAGGGGGTGGGCAGGGACCCCTGGGGTCCCCGGCCAGCCTGGGACCCCCGCCTCCGCGCCCCCTCCCAGGTCATGCTTCAGGCTGGATCGGGCTGCCAGGACAGGAGGGACCAGCACTGGGGTCCTGGGGCCGTGCCGGTGCTGGCCAGGCCACCGTGATGGGAGGCCACAAGCAGCCCCATGGAGTGGCCGGGCCAGGGCAGGGGGTGGCCAGCCCGGGCACGGCTCCCGCAGGGG